ATTCTGGGCAAATCGACACTTGGAAAGCTTGATGTGCCAGTGATCTTTCTCTAACAGAGTCAGGACTTGTCGGAGATGTTCCACATGGTCTTCAAAGGTTTTGGAGTAGATGAGTATATCATTGAAAAATACAATAGCACACTGCACACCGACGGAGGAGGGGCTTCAGTGTAGTGTTCATGGCCCCTTGAAAAGTACTTGGGGCGCCTGACAAGCCAAAGGCAACGACATTGAACTCATAGTGACCGACATGGGTTGAGAAGGCCGTCTTGTACTCTTGACCTTCCTGGAGCCGGATCTGATGATATCCCGAAAGCAAATCAAGGGTGGAGAACCACTGTGCACCGCCGAGCTCATCCATCAGTTGTTCAAATATAGGAATTGGAAACAAAGTCTTGATGGTGAGCGCGTTCAGACAACGGTAGTCCACACAAAAACGCGACGTTCCGTCCTTCTTACGGACCAACAGCACTGGTGAGTTGAATGGCGCCGTGCTTGGTCGGATGAGGCCTTGCTGAAGCATAGTTTCCACTTGTGCTTCAATCTCATCTTTGAGGGCTGGCGGACACCGATACGGCCTGACATTGACAGGTCTTGCGCCCTCGATGAGAGGAATGGCATGGTCACAATCACGCTTGGGTGGCAACTCAGAAGGCGGAGCAACGACTTCAGAAAACTGTGAAAGAAGCTGAGTGATAACCGGTGGAATGTCAGGACTGTCAGCCGACTGAGAATCTGACAAACTGAAAATCTGAACCAGCAGCTCATCCTCACTGTCAACACAATGTACTGGTGAGCCATATAGCCGCACAGTTGATCCCTGGTATGGAATTGCAAGCCACCGTTGGCGCCAGTCGATTTTCATCGGGCTAAACAACAGGAGCCAATCCATGCCAAGTATGACATCATAAGTACGGAGGGGCAATATGTTCAAATTATGCTTGAATGTGCAACTGTCAATAGTCCAGACTGCAGAGGAAACCATAGCGGAACACTGTAGAGTATTTCCATTAGCAACACGAACAGTGAACTCCGGGCACTGGACTGGAACAATATTGAGCCGAGTCACTAGGGACTGACTAATAAAAGAAGCTGAACTGCCCGAATCCAAAAGGATCAGTATAGCCATGTTTTGCATTGCACCTTGGAATTGAAGAGTTTTCACTGACGTTGCTGTACCAGATGCATCAGCAGACAAGCAAAGACAGGTTTCCTCGGATGTTTCTTCTGCTTGCTCTGAACTGTCAGGCTGCTCCTCTGGACTGAATAAGGCATACAGCTCGTCCAACACATGTAGGCCAACCTGAGCAGCGCACTTGTGGTCGCGACTCCATTTGTCCCCACAATGGTCGCACAATCTGCGGGCTCGACGATAGGCCTTGAGGTCAGCGAGCCTCCGTCAACATGGGCACAATGGCTTTCTGCAGATAGACTCCACCCAAATTGCGAGTAAACTCGCTTAGTAGAGAGGTGCCTCCCTCTCTCATTTGTTTGAGTATAAAACGACGTATCCACATGACACATCCATACCCATCTGTAGAATTTTACATTTATATCTACATCAGTGGGTGAAATTTTATACATATATCACATTGTCGGGTCTAAAGTCCTATTGGTATTTGAATCCATCGTGCTAATAATTAGCTTCTTTAGATCCAAACGAGTCCGGCTAATAGTCTAGCTAAATATTAGGTAGTATCCAGGTAATAACTATTTCACTAGTTGGACCCAACCAGCTATTAGCAACTAATATTAACTATGAGCTATATTAATTAGCTACTGCTAACTATTACTAGCAGCTAGTGGATCCAAACAAGTTCTAATTAATATATCTATGGATAGGATTGCCACCTCTAGACTGGGATGCCTTTGTGGTAACGCTGGTAGCGTCATGAATCATGATTGAGTTGAATCAAACCATGCCGACGTCGTGGTCAACCATGGGGCAGGCTATGACTGGAATGGTATCCCGGATGGACCCCCGGAGCTGGATTTATATATGGTGCTCTATGATGACATGATTTGTTGATTATTTGTTCCTCAACATTCAACAACTACAGCTAGAGTCGTGACATTAACTAGATATCGTAAGCCAACTTACTTATGATTGTAAGGATTTGTTGTTGGTGCTGATCTTTTGCTCTAGAAAGTCCGGAAACTGAGGCAAATTCAGGTTGCCACCATGTCCTGTGCAGAAAGAAGGATGAATCCGAGTTCATTTGTGGTCGCCCAAGTCTGAATCCTTAAATTGTGAGTCCAATAAATTTAGTTTAGAAGGATTTTAGTGCTTGTTCAAGCCTGACTTCTGTTGAATCAGGGAGTCATGTTTGGTCGAGTTTTTTTCCCCCTTTTTTTATTGTTAGAAAAAAATGCGATGTCAACAGACTAAAACGAGCCCAGGCTTTGAGAAGGCCCTTGGTCCCTGGCCCATGTAGGACATCAATATAAATAGAAATAGGCCTAGCCCATTTATTGGTGTATTCGCCAGGTATGACCGCATGACACATGACACATGACACGTTGACACCCAATAAATCAAAAGATCACTTCCAACACTTCAGCTTTTCATTTTCTTCTTTCACTTAGGCTTTGTTTAGATTGCAAGTTTTTTCATTCTCTCTCTATCACATTAAATCTTTGTACACATGCATGGAGTATTAAATATAGATAAAAAAAATAACTAATTACACAGTTTGATTGTAAATTATGGGACGAATCTTTTGAGCCTACTTAGGTCATGATTGGACAATAATTATCAAATACAAACGAAAGTGCTACAGTGCTAAATACTGATTCCTAACCCCAATCTAAGGCCTTATCTCTCCAATCCAGGATGCTATAAAAAGAAACGGTGCATGCGATCGGCAGCGCAAGGCTGCCTGTGTACTTGTACTGCCGTTTGCTGAATAAGGTGCGGTGACGTACACCAAACATGATCCCATCCGAGACTTGGTGGTTCGAGACTTTATGAAAAAAAAAAGGGATCATCTCCAAGTTCCAACTGGCAGGTAGCCAACACAGCCGGAGCATAAGAACGTGCACGTCATTGTATTCGCGGTGAGGTCGTCCCACGCGGTCAACCTCCACGTCCATGCCTGCAGAAAGTGAAACAAAGCGAGGTCAGCTTTCCGGGCTGCGGCTGACCCGCCCCGGGTTGGCACCGGCCCAGGGACGCGCGCGCCCGGATGCAAATGCGTATGCATGCACCGCTGACCGCTCCCTGCCCGACGCCCGTGACTCTGCTCTGCTGCGTGCTGCCGGCTGCCGCCGTCTCCGTCGGTCCGTCCGCCCGCTCGCCGCCTGCGCCTGCGCCTTGCGTGATCGCTGGCAGCGTCATTGTAACTCGAAGCCATTTGGAGTAACCCGGCATCGGAACTCGCAGGTGGTGGCGGTGGTGGTGGTGCAGTGTCACCAATGTTTTCAGGCTTGCCCCAGTAGGTTTCAGGCTTCACCGTTGAGGAAAAATAGATGAATGAGATGCTGCGGCTCCGAGCCACTTCAGCTATCAAGTGGGGGTGGGCCGGTGGGGTGATCGTCTGCTTGAGCTGATCAGAATACTCCTCCTCCCTCCTCTGTTTGTCTGTTACTGTGCTCCTATTTGCAGAGAGGCGAACCTAACCCGCGCCGCCCGTCTTCTCTGACCAAGCTTTTGACAGAATGAGATGCCCATTCTTTGTGTGCTCATACGCAACCGTTCCTCCTTATTTGATTCTGAAATCATGTCACGTGCCCAGCAGCACTTCCGTCCACATCTTTCCATGACCTGGACATTCATTCCAACTCTTACCAAGCCTAGCGAGCGTGACATGTAGACATGGGCGGAGCCAGGATCGGCGCTGCTCGAGACGTGGGCCGTGGCAGCGGTTTTGGCCTCTAAAACGGTAAAACTCATGTAACTGCAAGAGATAAATATAGCTGAAAATCAACTTTAATTCTTTTTAATTCAATTTAGCTTCTCTTCTCTACTCTAGCATCTTCTTTCGAGCTTTCTTGGCTCCGCCAGTGCATGTAAGCCAGGAACTTGGACACACAGAGACCGGAGAGTCCGGCACCTTGGGCCCGAGAGTGCCTCCGCATCGACGGTGGTGGCGGCAAGGCGAGGCGAGGTCTGCATTGCATGATTGACGGCGATCAACGACTGTTGCTGATGGAGCTACAAGCCTAAAACCGGAGGGAATGTAGCCATCATGCCTGCGTCTGCTAGATGCTCACTAGCAGGAGTAGTGTAAAGAAAGAACAAGAAAGAGACCTACGGGTCCGGCTGCTCTGCTCATCCTCTCGCCGTCCGTCCACTTGCCTTGGATATCATCATGATCTACAATGTGTAGTAGTAGTACTTGTGTTACAATCACTGAGCCATGGAACACTTTGCCTTCTCGTGACATTCTGTCGACTTGTGGTAAACATATAGTATCAAAGAAAGAAACTCTAGCTCTTCCCATTCAGACTTCGTTTATTGTGAATTTGTGAAGGACACGCCACTGCAAGTACCAAGACTGTTTCTTCACAAACCTGGGGTTCTGACATTACTGGCCTACAATTGAAGTATTGAACCACCGAATATTTCTGCAAGTACAACATGTAGTACACGCATTTGCAAACCCAAATCCATGTGAAAAGAGTTAGGGGTAGTATCATTTGTGGAACGCGGAAGTTCAGTGGGATGTTTTCATGTTCATCAGGTGTAAATTTCTACTACATCTGAATTTCGTATTCAAATGGAAACCCGCGTTTATAAACGGCCCAGCATGCATGTGGCATACCAACTAACCAAAATCCACGCAACCGATCAAAGAAAGCATCTTGCAAATTACAACACTTTGCCTAGTTGTGCTACTAGCAAGCTGTTGTTCGTTCCGATTCACACAAGAACAGGGGAATAAAATAAGAGATCGGAGGAAAAAAAATGTAAACCCAAGGCAAGGCCCGCCAGCCTCTACTGAATCTGCGATCCTGCGTGCCGCCGGACGCCGGACGCGCACGGAGCATCATCATCGTCATCATCGCTCCGGGTCCGGGGCAGGGCGGACGGGCGGTGGCTGGTGGTCACGGAGGCGGTCGATCCAGCGGCAAGCGCCGGAGGCGAAGAGGGAGAACCAGGCGAGGAGCGGCGTGCCGAGGAGGACGAGGCCGACGGGCACCATCCACAGCTGCTGGTGCGCCGGGTGGAACGCCAGCGCCCACCACACCAGCACGCCGGCACCCACCAGCCCCACGCCCGCCACGGCCGCCCCGTACGCCCACGTCGTCGTCGTCGTCGCCGCCGCGTTCTGCTCCCCCACGCAGCCGCCCATCTCCAGCGCGACGTGCCCCCCGCCGCCGGCCGCCGCCGCCTTACCCGCACGCGCCTCGCGCTGCGCCATGACACACGGCGCGCAGGCAGGCTAGGCTACGTGAACGTCGTCAAGTGAAGCAAGCGAGGAGAGCTCGCCCGCCCGGGTCCGTGGGTCGCGCGTGCTGGAATATACAGTGGGGGCGTGAGTACGTGGGGGAGGATCATGTGGGCGGGGTTATCTGGTGACGCCAACCCTGGGCCAGGCCGCTCGCTCTCGATTCACGCGGCGCGGCACAGGGGCTTTTAATCCAGTTTCCACGTCAGGAGAGGGCCGGCGGAAATCGCCCCAATCGCCTGCCTGCCTGGCTCAGCCTAGTTTAGCTTAAAGCTGGCAGGTGTCCTTTCGGTTGCTCCGGATAACAAAGCGTTTTGACCGCGCCGCGGACAAGCGTGACAGAGCAGGAGCAGGGCGGCGTCGAGCTCTGCCGTGGCCGCCGCCGGGCGCCGGAGTCTCTTGTTTGTCCACTTGACCACTTGCCCGGCGACCTGCCCAGACTGCCTTGCCCTGCCCCTAGAGGACGGACGGCGCTTATTTCGTCGGCGTTGTGTACGTGAGGGTGGGAGCCGAGTGAGACGGCGGCGCACCATGCGGAACGGTGTGACGCGGCTTGGTGCCACGCAGAGCTCGCGTCTAGCTCGTCACGTCACGTGCAGCGGGGTGCCTGAACCACTGGAGCCTGGAAGCGGAGCGTGTGGTGGGTCCGCGCTGGAGTATTTTGTCAGGTGCCGGCTGTTCTTCGCTCATTCCTTCTGCAGCAGTACTCTTGTACGGGGTATTGGTAAGACCGTAGGAATCTGGATTTCTTGGGATTAATTAGCGGGTGCACTAAATCGGGCATTTTATCGTCAATGCATACACCAGCTATGCTGGACTGGGACCATTGTTGAACCAGTAGGCTAGATAGATAAAACAGATATGGCATTGCTGCAGGGGTCCAATGGCCTGTTCGCTTAAAGGCTTATCACTACAGTTTTTTCTCTCACAATAAATCAGTTAAGACTAACTTATCAACGGTTTTAATACCAGCCCAACAGGCCCAACTCCTATATCAGAATGGGTCAGGATTCAGGTGTCAGACAAAAAATCGCAGAATCGAAGCCTGTCGTCTGAGGCCGGTCCTACTCCGTCTGTTGCCTAGGAATATTTGCTCTAGGCCGAACCACCACTGATGCTGACCTGTGATGTGCTGCATTACATCTGTTCAGGGGCAGGAGCACATCTCGCCAAAACCTGCTCGGAGGGGAGTAGATGACGGGCATGACGCCTGTGTTCCTGCACTATGGCTGATGGCTAGTGGCTGCCCACCATTTCTTTCTACGTATTCTCTGAAATGTTTTTTTTTCCTGAACAACGACGCTCCGTGTCCGGCGCAGTTTCAGGTTTCAGCAACAGAAACTAGAACAGCACGCTGGCCCCGGGAGCCGGGAATATGGAATATTTCAGGTAAGAAATCACTTGATACGAATGCATGACAAGTTGACATCACGAAAATGTTGCGGCCGTTCAATCATTCAGCCAGCCGAGAGGAGGAGGAGGAGGAGGACGACGACGAGACGATTCCCCTCCTCGGTCCTCTCTGTCCTTTTTCAGTTTTTCTCCACATCACACACCAGTAATTTTCTGGCGTTTTTCTTTTCCACACCGACCGCTGGACGTCGCTGCCTCCTAATTGATTCCTACGCCGATTGATGGCAGCTTTGATTCCTACGCCGATTGATGGCAGCTTAGCCACACATGAAGCTTTCTTCCGTGGAAATTATGGTGTTGCTCACTGATTCCTCTTGAACTGACGGATCAGAGCAAGCTGTGACCTGACAGTTACCTGATGACGCGAGCTTTCAGCTATGTCAGCAAGCGGCACACACAACATTCTCCGCCGCTCGTTGTAGGGGTACTAGTTTCCCAGTGCCTACCGCAACTCCTCTGCTCCCAATAAAATTGCAGCCTAGTGGCTACGGCACTACAGCACTTGGAATCACATGCTAATACTACATTACTCCTCCATTGTAAAGTGAAGATCGGGCAGTGAAAGCTCCTCGGTAGGTTTTCTTCAGCGGGTAAAGTCTTTTAACGTCATTGCGCACTGGCTCTGTTCTAGGCTTCTAGCCGACCTGTCGAAAGCCCATTTGATACGCTCTCCTCATGCGGCAGATAACGTAAGCGTGAAAGAACCGACCAGGCACTAGCATACAATTACAGCTTGATTTGTCTCACCATGAAATAAAAATAAAATCAATTCACCACATACATACAATTACAGCGACAATTCTCAATGTACCAGCACCATGGGGAATGTCAAATGTCCTAGTTAGGAGAGGAGCTGTACTACTGAACAAATAATAAGCTGAAGTGACAGCTTGCAGAACATAATTGGTACATTGTGTTAGCCGAATGACAAAGTCATGGTCGGATTGGGAAAAATAAAAGAAATATATAAGCAGGCTAAGCTTATGTTACAGCTAACGCTAGTGGTCAAAAACTTCCTCCTAATCTGAGTTCTGTTTATCCTCGATGCTTGACTTGCTGAGGATAAAGACGCCAAGAATGATAAGACTGGCACCTGCAAACCACTGCATAAACGTGTTTCATGTCAAAAAAAAAAAGGAGCTGTGTTCAGAGAATTGGAAAGTAGTCTCTAAACAATTATGCCAATTAAAGAAAAGAAAATAAGCAAACATCTGTAAGAATTAACAAATAACTGAAATCACGTTAAATCTTGCAATGGTCGATTTGTCGATTATGGCAAGGCTTAATGACATAGACCATGTAGTATTTCAGAAACAGATCTTAAAGTATCATGGTGTATATCAAATGCAAATGACCAATGATTCACCTTTCTGAAGCAAGCTAGTGTGCTAGATCATTTTTGTTGTCTAGCAATTAGCTGTTCCAGTGTGTTATTATTGCTAAAAAATAGTCTTAAATCTTAAGATACCACTGTCAGAAGAGGAAACTAAATTGAAAATCCTTTTTATCACGAGACTCATCGCATAAGCAATAATGGAATGCTTTCTTCGACTAACTGGGAGAAAAGACTTATGACTTGTTTGGCTGCACTCAATCCACACGGGTTGGGAGGGATTGAGATGCAAAATACACACGGCAGAAACCACCCAAACAAGTTCAAAATGCTGCACTTGATGGAGTCCGGTTAAATTCTACACCCCCTGCTCTGTGTGTGTGTGTGTGTGGGGGGGGGTCTCTGTAAATCCTTGTATTTACCTCATCTATAGGTTGCTTGGAATTTCAATCAAAGGGGGAATTAGAAAGTTAGAGAGAGATCATATATAGAACAAATAAAGTCCGATTATGTTCACTTCTCTTTATGCTGATCCTCATGATGCAACATATAAAAACCGAGAATTCCTGTGTTATGTTACCTTAGAAGGCAAGGGCTCTTCAAACAGGAAATATCCTGCAAGCCCAGACGAGATGAAGTTGGCGGCGAAGTTTGTCACTGTTGCCTGGAGGGATGACAAAGCTTTGAGGCTGTTGACATAGCACCCCCACATTGTCACATTGAAAAGTATCACCATGCCATATTTCAGCAACTGCATTAGATCCGATCAGAGTAAGTGACAGAGTAAACTGTGTCAGTGTCATGAATCAGGGAACAGAAATTCGGTGCCATGAATCAGGGAACAGAAAGCAATGGCATATTATAAGAAGAGTTATTTTGAGTTTCCCTTGATAAAGGAGTGCATGCTTGTTTTCCCATTTTCCGGATAGATGGCATTTTCCATCTCTTGTCCATGATAAACTTTAGCAACAAAGGCTTGAGATTTGAACTCCAGATTAAGTTGATAATGTGCTGGTTATTGGCCCATTAGGAGGAACCCCCCTTTCTTTTGAAGCAGACATTCCCTTTTTTCAGTTTCTTTGTAAGGATATATGATTATATATCTGCACTTTTAGCTTAGGAAATGGTTCTACCTCATCTGCACTATAAAGCAGGGATACCATTGGATAAATACAAACTAGTGAGCTATTCGTCACAAACTGAAGTTAATACTCTAGCGAATCATAAAAACCGATTGAATTGTAATTTCTACCTGTGATCCCATTTGTGTTCAGTATAAACAAAGAGGCTCAAACCTACGGTCAAATCGTCCGACACAAACTTCCGGATTTAGGAAACTAGTTCATGACCCCGAACTCATCATCCAAACTCATTTACTAGCCCGAAGCTCCGAAGCCGAAACCAAAAAGGAATCTTGGATCATATAGGGAGGGCGAGCTGTAGATAGGGAGGAAGCGGTAGGTTGGTAGCGCGGTACCAGAGTGGCGAAGAACTTAGCGGAGATGGCGGCGAGCGCGGCGTTGAAGCCCGCCGCGAGGGCCCACCCGTAGCCGCTGCCGTTCGCCATCCCTTGACTTCGCCGGAGATCCGCTCCGCCGACTGGTGCCGCTGCTGGACCGGTGGTGGAAAGGAAACCACGAGGACGAGGGGGACCGAAAGGGCCGGACGAAGACGGGAAGCGCGCGCTACTGGGCTCAGGAGGACCAAATGCGAGGCCCGAACGCCGTGCTTTTCAGCGTGGTACATGGGCCCTCCTATATAAAACACAATGGCGGTGGCAGTAAGGCCTGCTTCGCTTTTGATCAACAAGGCCCGTACGCATACCGCGCGCCGGTCGTGACTCGTGAGTCGATCGTCGATACCTCGTCGGCGAAGGCGGATACCGGGGGTGGCGCGGTTGGGGTCGTCGTCCCCACGCCCGCCCAGCCGCGCCCCGCGCCGCCGTTGCCCTACCCGTACATCAACCACAGGCAACTGATCCGACTACTGCAATAAACAGGTAAGCGATCTAAACTTCGACGCCTTGCTTGTGTTGTGTCCATAACTTCTCCTAAACCAGCAGCGAAATTCTGATGGTCGCGCAGGAGGGAAATACATTTTGATGGGGGCGCGTGGGGATGTGGAGGAACCCACATGTTTGCGATGGTGGCAAGCTTTGTCTTGGCCAGCGCCGGTAGGGTTTGGGAAAGCAAATTTTGCTGCTCCTGTTTGGCCTGCCGTAAGAATTTGCTAGCCGAGACAAACTAGCAGCCTAGGAACCAAGCGACAACGCATCATTTTGCAGAGAACCGATGAGCGACTACGCATCATTTTTCCACCACCGATGCAGGGATGCTAGTCTGGAATTATTTCCTCTATCACTAAAGCTTTGTTATCATCATTTGCAAGGAAGAAGCATCTGTATATGTTGAACATTGAACTCAAATCTCTTATCTTCAATTCGGATGTAAGATTCAGATGTCGATTGGCGTTTTCTACGGCACAACTCTTTCATAACAAATTATTTCACACTGCGCCTTATTCCAATAATCATAAGTTTATAATCATAAATAATATTATATATAATAAATGAAAAGGAGACAATGATTTATAATCACAAGTTTATAATCATAAATTTCAAGACGATGATTTTGATCCTTAAGAATGTAGAGACACCAAGCCACCCAAACAACTTTTGGCAAGAAAATGCGGTCCCAAGCAATCAAACATTTCGACCCATAACATTTTTCTTCCCAGGTCTCGAGGAAGACCATCTCTATCTGTCTTAGGGAGGAGCATACTGGTTTTCTCTCTTTTTCCGGTTGTAAAAGGGTTCATTGGCTCGTATCCTTGTTGAGAAGAAGCAGTTTTTAAGCTTGACTTGATTGGTCAAGAACAATAGGTAGGATTTGAACTCCCTTGTTTATTTGGAGCTAGCCCAAGGATTTCACTCACTTGCTATAGGCTTGCTGGTTTCGAACTAATGTCGGATCATTCGTGGTTTTCTTTTTTCGGGTTTATCTCCTCACATGTTGGAGCAACAGGTAGAGAATTGGGAGGCTGCCTATGACATTCACAAGAACGATCCCCTTAATTTTTTTTGAGGGAACGATCCCCTTAATTGTGTTGTCATTCAATCCACCAAAACCCACTAAAATGCTAGATGCACCTACACGGCGGTAGAGGAGCGAATAGTGCATGAGGATAGGTCACAAGCAGTGAGTCACCCCATATCGAGCCAACAAGATCTAGCACAGTAGAGTTAAATTTACCCTTGGAGGCATGTTCCCCATCCCCTGTGTATATTTTTCTAACCAATTTTAGATATTATTACATTTATACACAGTTGGTACCAAAGCTATAATAAGTGTTTAAAGCTTGCAATCCTTTTCTAAACTAAAATTTGACCAGCAAAATGCTTTGAAAAATTTATAGGATGCAATGTAATTAAGTATCTATAAGCCCTAAAATATGGTTAAGTACTAGGAGTGGATAAGTATACTAACTTTTGGGCGAACTATCCTTGACATGTACGCTAACTTGTGAACGTATTAATGCGATAGCGTTTAGTTATATAAAGAGTGTACATGTTTATGTCATGACTAGAACAATATACCACTATATGTTGGTAATAATTTTATTTTGGTAAGGGTGAATAGGGCGTGCATGCATCATGTCATATGCATTTTAGATCACTTGCATTATTAAGGTTTTCTTTTTGTCTAATAGAGTCCTTGTTTAAACAGATGTCGCTAGGAATGGAAGCCGCTTGGAGGAGTCAGTGCACCTACCACAACACGTTGTGCAGCAGCGGTTTTCCTAGACTTCTTTGGGACGTTTTGAAGCACTTCGGCTACAAGTCACGACTAGAGTACTTTGGGCGAGAGGAGGACGAGTACGGTTTACGTGTGGTCAAGGTGGAGATAGTAGTGCCAGACTCGGGTTTTCCCTAGCTTGGTCACTAAGAAAGGTCCAGAGCCCTGTAGGGGATGGGGGACATGCCCCTAAGAGAAAAAGAACACCTCTGATCCAGCACCTCCAGACAGACGGAAGAGAGAAAGCTGCGCCTTTTGAAGGGGTCTATTGCAGACATGATTTATTCATAAAGCTAAAGGAAGCATTGATTCATAGAACAAACCCCGACATTACAAGCGCCACCTCTAAACCCAGACTCCACCATGAGAAAGGGAGAAAACAAACACACTTGGGTAGCATAGTTGCAGTACCTAATATAGAACATAACTTGTACCTAGGAGATAGCTGGAGGCCGGCATATCACACAACAAAAAGGTGCTCATGCCTACCGACTAACTAGGAGCTTGATCCCGCACACCTGGGCGAGACGAGGGAGCCGGGAGGACGAAAATGAGCACACAGATGACGCTCAAGGATAGTAGAATTCTCTAGAGCTTTGACCAGCCTCGCCGAAGCCTTACAGAGGTTAGGCTTGGCTGCTTGGACCCTAGATGCCTTTGATGTAGCATCCTCATAGAAAGAGGTTGAAGGGGACCGTGACGCCTAAGAGGGGGGGTTGAATTAGGCAACTTAAAATTTTAACTCTAAACTATGGCATCTTTTTCTAACCATAGCAAAACCTATGCAATAGATAAACTATCTAGATGTGCAACTATGATTTTGCTAGTGTGTTGCTATCTCTACCGCAAAAGGAGTAATACAATCAATATAAATGCGGAAGCTAAAGAGCAAGGTAGAGATATGCAAACTTCCGTTGACGACTCCGGTATTTTTACCGAGGTATCGAGAAGCACGCAAGCTTCCCCCTAGTCCTCGTTGGAGCCCCTCGTAAGGAATCCCTCGCAAGGGCCAAGCTCCCGGTCGATGTGATCTCACTAAACACTAGGCCTTAACCTAGAGCAAGCGCATAAGCGGTGGTCTAATCAACCTAAGCACTTCGAAAAGCACATACGCTAATCACCTAATGAATCACTAAGCACTATGCAAGTGGAGATCACTAAAATGGTGTATCAACACCCTTGATATGTTTCCTCAGCTCCACACCTCTCATTTGGCCGGTTGGGGGTTGTATTTATAAGCCCCACTGAGAAAGTAGCCGTTGGGGACGAAATCCCGCTTTTCTGCTACTGACCGGACGCTGAAGTCGTCCTGACCGGACGCGTCTGGTCGTCCCGACCGTTGAAGCCGCGATCCACTGATCGGACGCTGCCAGCGTCCGGTCACCTGCCACTGGACGTGTCCGGTCATAATTTCGCCGCTCTGGAACCTCTCTGTACTCGATCGGACGTTGCTGTCCTGCGTCCGGTCGATCTGCCGCCAGCGTCCGATCACTTTTCAGCGTCCGGTCTAGCGTCCGGTCGCCTCTGTGAATTTGTTTCGTCGTGATCTTGCGTCCGGCTTGGTTCCTATCTTCATGCTTGGACTTTGCTTGATATCTTGGGTCTTCTCTTGTGCTTCTAAGATCTCGCTAGTAGTGTTGATCATCGGATCATCACGTCGCCTTCGTCCAAGTTACGTTTTGCACCCTATTGAACTACAAAACAATCACTTGCAAATTTATTAGTCCAATTTAGTTGTGTTAGTTATCAAACAACAAAATCTAAAATAAACGGGCCTAGGGTCCATTTCCTTACAGAGGTCTCCTTGGTTGCCAAACGACGCCTGTGCAGCTTGGAGGCGCTGACCGTTGTACACTTGCATTATGCACGACAACGACGCACATTGACCTCATGTTCCTCCTCAGCTAGAAGGTCCTCCAAGGAAGGAACACATGAGCATGGTTGGATGTGGGGGTCGCCTCTAGCTCCAAGATATCCGGGAGCAGGAGAGAGGCCCGAGCAGGGGGCAGACAAGAGTCACTAGGTCTCTACTGACGACGATCTGAGGGAGCCTTGCCCCCTACCAGACCGGAGAACCCTCCAGACAAAAGAGAAAGAAGACGACAAAATGATCCAAAGCGGTACCGAGGGGTACAACATAGGCCCTAGGTTGTTGGAGAAGGCGTGTTGTCTCCAGTGGTGTTGAACCATGGAAGAGGTTGTGAGCAAACTAAACAAAAATTATTTGGATATGAGTTAAACAAACAAGCTTCTTCTAAAGAGCAGTATGGGAGCGCTCCTAGCCATGGATTCTTCATGAGAATCACTTCTACGTAGCCAAATGAGTGAAGTACAATTAGATTTTGATAATATACTCCCATCGCTCTCCATCCAATTTATATCAGAATCACTCTATAATCACTTCCCACCTGTGATGATTATGTGGTTCACGGATATCGTCGTAGAGGACAAAATTGACCATAACGTATATTTAGATGTGTAACAAAAGCTATGTAAAAAATAGCAAGAACGAGCTATAAGATGGAATGGAGGGAGTAGTAATGTAACCACTCTAATCGTTATTACTCTCCAATACTCTTGACATATACGGTGCACAAGCAATAAAATATAAACTCTATGTGTTGTGTGCTACCATCCATACTTGTTGTGCGCTCTCCATACCATGTTCCAGCACTAGAATCAGTCCATAGAATTAGTAAGCTAGAGCTAAGAACTAGGGAGCGAAGCTCTACCAAACAAGCCTTAAACTTTTTCTAGATTCTTAACTCGGTTC